TTGTGGGATCCACTTCATGGACACAGCCCAGACTGGCCCTGAAGTCTGTGCTGAACAGGAAACGCTTACTTTTTAATCTCCGTTATTTTAGAGATAACAGTGAATGCAAACGATATTTGAACCTCCAGTTCTCAGGACAAATAACTTCTTGTGTTTGCCCTCTGCTCCTCAGTCCATCAGCTCAAAACCACGCTTTCAAAACCAATCTTGCTTCTTCTCACTGATCTCTCCTCCTGTTCTTGCCCAATTAGCAAGGACCTGGGGTAATCAGCAGAAGCTATTTGTGGACAAGAGGAATGACACTGTTGTGAAGATGGGAAGGTGGTTATTCAAGGCTTGCATCCTTTTGAGGTATAACATAGTAGAGAGGGCTGGGTTGGGGAGCAAATTATTGTATGTTTGGGCCAGTTACTCAGTGAGAGACCTTGGGCGACCACTTTAGCTTCACTTCCTAATCTGTGAGACAAGAACAGTAATCCCTGCTCTTTTGCTGTGCGGATCAATGGGCTTTGCAAACAAGAAACATTCGATAAATTCTTATCAGTATTAATTTTTTCTCTTAAAGATTTTTAAAAGCCATTTCTTTAAGAGGAGAGATTTTCCCACAGATCCTATTAAGGGTGGAATAAAAATTGTAAAGATCAAGTAGTTTTTCTAAAACAGGTAACAAGTGATTAACTAATAGATGCTTTCAAATATGAGTTTTGTTAAAATTTATTTTTATTTCCATTCAGAAAGTATGCTAATAGCTTTTTTTCAAAAAGGAATATTAGCCTTGAGCTAACATCCATGCCCATCTTCCTCTACTTTACATGTGGGACGCCTACCACAGCATGGCTTGATGAGTGGTGTGTAGGTCCATGCCTGGGATCCAAAATGGCAAACCCCAGGCCTGGGAAGCAGAACTTAACTGCCACGCCACTGGGCTGGCCCCTGCTAACAGATTTTACCACATTCAAATGTTATTTACATTTCTAATTGGAAATGTAAAATCTCTGTGAATGGTTGAAAAGACTGATATGGGGAAATTGAGAACTATTCTGGCCTAATTGTTCTCAAAGGCAGGCAAAGACTGTCCATAGACAGCAGGCTAGAACAAGGAGTTTCCAATCCTGTGGTGGGTGTGCCAGTGTGAGCTTTTGCTAATAACACTTCCAGCCAGCTTCATAAGTTCAGGTTATCGTAATCAATGCAGAGTCTCATTATAATTGACTGATGTTGGAGGAAATATGAAAACAAATTTGGTTTCTAAAATTCGATAGTGGCATTACTGGTCATAAATGATAGTAAAGTAATAATCCTTAATATCGTATGAAATCCTTATAGAAAATATAATGTGCCCAAACATACAACGGTGTGTTCAAACTTAGGAGGAGCTGTGATATTTGGATATCACGTGACTCCATTTTGGGCCTGTTGTTCCTTTCTTTAACAGGTTGTAGTGGTAAATAAGGCACAGTCCTTCATCCCATGAAGGTGATGCTTAGTGGGGACACAGGAAGTAAAGGGGAAACCACAGGCCAGTGGCTCCAGAGCTGCCACAAAAGAAGGGAATACAGAGTGTTAAAGACGCGTGTGGGTGGAACACACGACCGAGTCTTTGGAGAGCGGAGAGGAATCACTCGCAGGAAAGTGCAGTCAGTAGAGGCTCTGCAAGGTGCACTGGGGAGACTCGCGGGAGATAAAATGTTCCTGTATTCATGATGTTTATCAGCACACTAAACACATGGATCCCTCAAGAGCCGTTTAAAAAGCAACATGAAAAAAGAAATTTACAAAATAAGGAAATATCCAAAATAGGGTACATCAAGTCAGAGAGAATACAAAATAAAAGAGATAGGAGAAATTAACTGATATTGTGTCCACTGTGTTCCGAAAGAGCAGTATGAGTTCTTTTATTTCATCTTCTTAACACTTCCTATAGCGTCGAGGCTAGAACCCCTGTTCCTCCAAGAGGTTGGGCAAGCTTTCCAAAGATCACAACATTCCAGACTAGGTCTGTCCTCTGTACAGCCCGTGCTCTTTGCCTTGTCTACTGCAGACTAGCGTCTCCCTTTTCATCTACACTGAATTGATGTTGATTGGATTCCAGAGGTGCTACTAAAAGCAGAAGTCTTGTCCTCCCTAAACAGATCGGGAATTGCTGCTTTATCTTTAAGAGAATTGCTTTTACTATTCTTTCTGTTAAAAAAAAAATCCTCATTCTCTCCGCCCTTAATCATCAATGGTGGTTGCTGTTTCAGATTGCAAATGTGGACAGAGGCAATTCTCAATTAGGAACTGACTGCCTGTCTCTCCCACACACCGCGGAGGAGATGTGGTTCCTGCAGGGACTTCAGGTAGATTTTTCTTTTTGTAGAATATCTCCCAGTAGCCATTCTCTCTTCTTGACCAACACTTACAACTTATTGTGAGGACGCCTGACACTGCTCTTCACCTGGAAGGCATTAACATTCCTGTCTTGCAGCCAAGCCTGGTAGTTTCAGTGTTGTGGAGTAGCAAGACGAACTGTTAGAATAGAATCCTAAATCTCAACAACACTTTTGACGACCTGATTAATATTTCACTCACCCTTATTTCCCATTTCTAAAATACACAACCACTTTGGGGAAAGCTGTGGAAATGGAGCATTAATGGATCCCGAGGTAAACAAGAAAATGTAGAAGATCCAAATCCAGTTACTTTTGCTCCTACTTGTTGTGTAACTGGAATGTATTTCTAAAAGTCAGTGGGAGAGGAGATAAGAGCCCTAACTTGGGAAGGTTAACAGAGGATCTGGACTAGATATCCATTCACACTCTTGTCTGCCCAACTTGGCTTTCTCTGTGACAGCAACTGTTCTTAACACCTTATGAATTTTAGCTCATTAATCTTCATGACAAAATTGTGGTGTGGGTATTGTATTATATCAATTAACAGATGAGAAAACTGGGCACAGAGGGTTAGGTAATCTCTGACACAGAGATCACCCAACCAGAAATAGTCTTCATAAAATTCTCCATCTCCAGATATATTTGCGATTGAACATTGCAATTCAGGTTTGATCTAATATATCCCAGAACCAAAAAGCCTTTTTGAGAGTTTCATTCTTCAGGGCTTATTCCAGCTGTAAGACATTTGTTCCTATTTTTTACAGATTCTCAGTCAGATTAGCTTTAGAGCTGTGGGACATCCTGGCTGACTGCACATGGATTATGACCTGTAAAATAAGGGGTATCATGGTATGGGGTCATGCAGGATCCTTCCTAGTATGATTGAGGTCTGGAGTCAGAAATCTATTTCCACCCACATGGGCTTCATACAAGAAGGCAGGTTTGCACCAGTCTCCACTGGGGTTAGCCTGGGCTCTTTGGAGGAGGTGGAGGTGCATGCTGACCTCTTTCATCTTTTTTTCACCTCCCCACCTTTTCCCACAGGCTCTGCTGGCATATGCAATCTATTGCCATCTTTAGATTTCTGTTCTTTGCAGCACCAGTTTGAATCATATTGCGGAAAAATTTCTCCAAGCCCGTGAAGAGGTGTTCCATCTTCTGGAGGTTTGGTACCAAGAATCAGAGAGAGCAGACTATGGTTGAATGTATTATTTTCCTCAATAACATCCCTGTGAGGTGAAGACACATGAGTCTACTTGTAGATGCTCTCACAAGTGGGGAGATGAAGGGAGGAAGAGGATAAGTGATGGTTAGGAAGTGGAGGAACAAGAATCTAACTCTCCTGTGTCCAGGTGAACTGTTTCATCTACTGTGATTCCTTTAACTAGCACACCATGAGGAATCTAATGTGGGGGCCACAAACCAAAGGGCTGATGATCGATTATTCTCAACTATTTCTCATGTTGAGAGAAATGTACACAAATTATCCTAAGGCAGCAGGGATATATGGAACTCACTAAAAACAAAACTTAGAAAGATAATATCAATCCAGTGTCTTTGATTTTCATCTCTAATTAATTGGCAGGATAAATGATCCTGTACTGAGAAAGAACCTTAAATTACTAAGACTTGTGAACAGTGCGAATTAGGTCCCTTGGCGCTCCTTCAGCACTCATCTGCATGACATGCCACCTGGAGGAGTAGTTTCCATCTGGAGTATAAAATCATTAACTGATGGCACATCTGTCATCTTTGCTGATGGAACAGGATTCTACATACCTATGTCCACCTGTGCCAAGAAGGACTTCTTAAGAAGTGATTCTGATTCTTCTGTCTGTAAGTAGCCTAGAATTCTTGAGTTTAATTTATTCAAACTCATTTAAAATTTCATAGACTAGTGTTCAGACAGATAAACTACTTTTTCCTATCAGATAGTTCTTCGGAGATGTACAAACACTGGGTGTTGTCTTTAGAAATTGCGCAGCAGGTGAAACTGAAATAGGGCAGTTCTCTATTCTTTTAATTATGTGTATGCTGAATTCTTTGCTTGGGAAGAGTTGACATGTAATTAAAAAGCTTAATCTGCTGATTTCATTGTCAAGTTATTTAAATCTTGAGGGGACAAGCCAGAAGTTACTCCTTCCCCAGGCAATGATTTGTTGACTAGAATTAATTCTTCATTTGGTTAGACCCATAATGTAAATCTCACTTATATTTGACAACAGGTAACTTATCCAGATGGAGCAGATAATCTCTCAATAATTGCATGCTACCTACTGTGACATAGCCAGCTTTTTCTTTGAGGAAACATTTAGCTTACATCCTTCTTCTCTTTCTTAAGGATATTGTCTTCATTCATTTCCAAAGTGCTAGAAAGGAGCACTGTTTGTCCTGGTTTCAGACAAAACAGGAGTAGCAGAAGGAACTCTCATGAGACCTGGAATCCCATGCTGCATTTGACTCTCAGGTGCCTTTGATTCAGTTGCAGGGAGATCGTAGCCGGTTCCAAACCGCCCTTCAGTTCCTCCTCTAGGTCTCACTTTCTAATCGTTTAGCAGATAAAGAAAAAGATTTTTTTTTGATGAGACAGATTGCTGGTTCCCAGAGAGAGGAAGAGTAGAACCATAAATGAGTGCTGTCCTTGACCGAGGTGCTGAAGGACACCCTGCGGCGTTCTGCTACCAGGGGAATGGGTCTTGCCCCAGGAGGGTCCATCCACTGGGCATCCAGTTGGTGATCTACCTGGCTTGTGCAGCAGGCATGCTGATTACAGTCCTAGGAAATTTGTTTGTGGTGCTTGCTGTGGCCTACTTCAAGGCACTTCACACTCCCACCAACCTCTTGTTGCTTTCTCTGGCCCTGGCTGACCTGTTGCTGGGTCTGCTGGTGCTGCCCTTCAGCATCATTCGCTCCGTGGAGAGCTGCTGGTTCTTCGGAGACTTCCTCTGCCGCCTGCATACCTATCTGGACACCCTCTTCTGTCTCGCCTCCGTCTTCCATCTCTGTTTCATTTCCATTGACCGCCACTGTGCCATCTGTGAGCCTCTGCTCTACCCCTCCAAGTTCACAGTCAGGGTGGCCCTCAGGTACATCCTGGCAGGGTGGGGGGTGCCAGCAGCTTACACTGCCTTATTCCTCTACACAGATGTGGTCGAGAGAGGGCTCAGCCAGTGGCTGGAAGAGATGCCTTGTGTGGGCAGTTGCCAGCTGCTGTTCAACAAGTTTTGGGGCTGGTTAAACTTCCCTGTGTTCTTTTTCCCCTGCCTCATCATGATCAGCTTGTATGGGAAGATCTTCCTGGTTGCTACCAGGCAGGCTCAGAAGATCAGCACCTTGAGCAGAAGCCTGGCTGGGGCTGCCAATCATGAAAGAAAAGCTGCCAAGACCCTGGGCATTGCCGTGGGCATATACCTCTTGTGCTGGCTTCCCTTCACCTTTGACACGATGGTTGACAGCCTCCTTAACTTTATCACACCACCACTGGTCTTCGACATCTTTAGCTGGTTTGCTTACTTCAACTCAGCCTGCAACCCCATCATCTATGTCTTTTCCTACTGGTGGTTCAGGAAGGCGCTCAAACTCTTCCTGAGTCGGGAGATCTTCTCACCGCGGACACCCACTACTGATTTGTACCAAGAATGACTCTTTGAACTGGATGCAGGCAACCAGTAGGGGCTTGCAGGAAGCACGAGTGATGATGTGGCAGGGGGCTGTGTGGTGTCACGAGTCTGTGGGCATGCTTCCAGGGCAGCATGCTTTAAGTGGAGATGAAAACCAACTTCTTAATTTGGAAAGAGAAACAGCACTGCCTTCATTCAATGTTTCTATTGCAGAACGTAGGAAAAGGAGAGAGTGAAGTCATCTGAATATTTATTGGATAAGTCAAAACTCTGTGTAAATATTTGGCTCCTCATTCATTACTTCCTTGAGACAACAAAGATACAGAGTTGGAGGGAAAAGGGCACTGAGGTCAGGATTTCTGAGTTCTTGTCCCAGGTCTGCCACCTGGCAGGGCCAGGTCAGACTCTGGAGATATTTGGATGCCCCCTCCCCTCTTCACTGCTTCCTCACCTAGAAAATAGGGAGTTGATGTTGTTTGTTCTCTAAGGTGTTCATAAGTTCAAATATTGTATAAACTAACTTAGGAAACATTGTTTGAATCCTAATTTCATATCACTTTTTATAATCATGGCAACTCTGTGGAGTGTCTCTTTTTCAAAATATTTCTTTGGAATATTCCTTTGTCTCCTTGGAACCCCACTGCTAAAAAAGTTTGTAAGCCATTGTCCATTTCACTGATCACCAAGTAAATGTATTACATTCTTGATGGAATATTTTCTTCCATTTCTTTAATAATTGAAACTTGAAAATATATGGAATATGTTGTAAAATGATAACAATTCGTGTCTCACCATTTTGATATTTCCTCCTTCCTTTAATCAGACAAGGTAGACCTACGATCTTTCCAGGGACACCAGTATATAATTTTTTTTGGACAAAAAAGTACCTATGCCACCTGCTTGCTCAGAACTGAACCAAATGTTTCTCAGGAGCTGTTACTTGTAAAGCTACTGACACCCTTTATGTGCATCTTGCTTCTGTCTTCTTCCTCAATCTTTTCCTACAGGGCTCTAGTCACTCGATTTCCACATTTCTTTCTGAATTTTTTTCAGATTAATAATGCTTTTCTAGAAAACTTATTTGCAAAGTAACTTGAAGCCTCTGGAGTACAGATCTAGAGATAGATGTAGATATAGATACAGATACAGACATAGATATTCCATCTCAATAAATAAATAAATAAGTAAAGTCATAGTTTGTCAATGAAGTTGGCTGAAATTGATTTATTCCATTTCTTCTTCTTCTTTTGGCTGGAGACATAACCTCTATTGACCTTGTTCTATTCCCTAATGTTTTTACAAATTATTTTTCTATGTATTTTTTAATGTTTAATTTTTCTTTGGAAATCATTATTTTTTCTTTTTCATTTAACTCTTAAGCATTATCAGATAATTAAATTACAAATGAATTATAAGTTAAATTTTTTCCTATATATATGTAAATATATATACGTATATATATATATATATACAGTCATCTTTTTCCTCTTTTTTTTTTTTAAAGATTGGCACCTGAGTTAACATCTGTTGCCAATCTTCTTTTTTTTCCTTTCTTTTCTTCTTCTTCTCCCCAAAGCTCTCAGTACATAGTTGTATATTCTAGTTGCAGGTCCTTCCAGTTGTGCTGTGTGGGACGCCGCCTCAGCATGGTCTGATGAGCGGTGCCATGTCTGCACCCAGGATCCGAACTGGCAAAACCCTGGGCCACCGAAGAGGAGTATGCAAACTTAACCACTTGGCCACAGAGCCAGCCTTGTATACATGGTTCTGAGACATAAAGGAACTAGAAACTTCATGCCTTAGATATAGCAATAAGTATAATTTGTAAAGTATAAGTTAGTCATTACTTTAAAAAACCACATTTTCCTCTTACCTTTCTAGAAATAAATTCACACCCCTTTCCAATACACTGTGCACATGGCACTGTCTGCCCTGGAAGGATGGACACTCAGCTACGTCACAAGGTGGGATGCTGAGAGTCAGCCTCTTTCACAGAAGCAGGAAATGACCCTGCTTCTTCACATCTCACTGTTTTCTGTTAGGTGGAAAAGGCTGCATCAGCCAGGACAGGCTCCAGGGCGAAGAGAAGGGGGAGGCTGGAGAGAAAGGGAACTAACATTCACCCAGAAGCTGTGGTGTCTGAATCTCACTTTCTGCCCACAACCCTGCAGGGCGGACACTATCGACCTTGTGCCCCAGATGAGGCTCACAGAGGTTTGCTACTTTACTCTCCACTTGCTTGAAACCCTAAGCCACCTACTACATCTCTGAGATAATAGAGGAGACTGGACAGCGAATAAACCTGTGAGTAAGACTAAAATTCAACTCAGATAGGAGAGTTCAGGTGCTAGAGAAGCAGAGAAGCTGTGGAACTCGAGTGTCATGGCCCAACGTTAAATCACCAGTGCCCCGGGGTGGAATGAGAACAGGAATCACACCTGGGGGGCCACAAGGGGAGCCCGAGCCAATGGTTAACAGGTGAGCTCCTGGCCCAGGACTTGAAGCCCAGCTCCTTCAGCCTCTTTGATATGAGGACAGGATGTAAGGAGAAAAACTGTTGATCCAGAAAATCTGTTTAGGCCCTTGGACAAATGAAAACCGGTGTTCAATGATATTTCCCTTGAGGAATGAGTGGACTGTCCATGGTAACGTGAAACTTCACTGTTCCGGAATAACCTTTACTCTCTCTCTCCTGCTGAGTGGGAATTAACGAGAGGCACGTGTTGTTAATTTTTTCTGCCATGAGCTCCTTTGGCACTTGGTTAATGACCATGGAGCCTGCCTCAGAATAAGACTTCATTTATTTATTTATTTTAAAGACAGGCACCTGAGCTAAGAACTGCTGAGAATCTTCTTGTTTTCCTTCTTCTCCCCAAATCCCCCCAGTACGTAGTTGTATTTCTAGCTGTGAGTGCCTCTGGTTGTGCTGTGTGGGACGCTGCCTCAGCATGGCCTGACGAGTGGTGCCGTGTCTGCACCCAGGATCCGAATCGGCAAAACCCTGGGCCGTTGATGCGGAGTGAGCAAACCTAACCACTTGGCCACGGGGCGGGCCCCAGAATAAGACTTTAAAGTGGATAAATGTTTTTTAAAAAAATGGAGACTTCTAAAGGAATACAATTATGTTGAAATACAATTCTCAAAATATCTTTTAAATAGCCAAGTTTGTAATATAATCATATATGTGTTTCTTTACGAAAGCATTGAATAACCAGATCTGAGGCAGGTGCAATAGCTTCTGTAATGTCAGAGTAGCGATGAGCACAGATGAAATCTCACCATATCTGCAACAACCAGCCTGCAACACAAAATACCAATTTCTCCCGGTGACAAAAATCAGAGGCAGTGCTGATGTTACTGTGGTTTTTGCCTACAGTCAAAATGGAAGGAAATGCTAAATTTCAAGGTGAGATTAGTGAATATAAAGACATAATATTTTATAAGTTCGTGGGCACCCTGGCTAAGGAATCTCCTCTAACTGTGAACAGCAGGCCACTCCTCGGAGCATGATGGCTCTGTGCTCAAAGGTGGCAGAGGGCGGGGCAAGCAGACCTCACCCTGACTGCCCATAGCCCGCAGCCTGTGACACGCTCATCTCCACCAAGAGCGTTCCCCTGGGAAATAGCTCAAAGAGCACAGTCGTTTCTGGATGCTTTTGACCTAGCTTAGAATTATTTTATCTTTTTTTAAACTTCCTGTTCCACAAAACGTATCAGTGTGGTTTCAAATTCCAGAACGGATCTTTCTTGTTTTTATGACCCTGACCATTATTTTTTCTCCAAACATCTCCCAACTGAATTATATTGCTTTCTTACAACTTACTCAAACCAAGTTGCAGCTCGCCCAAGCCAGCAGCATGGGTGAATATATAACACACCTGAATATATATGAGTATAAGTCTATGAGTATAAATATGTGAGCTATATGCCATTTTATGGTCAAGGGTTTTGAGTAGTGCAATTTCCACAGCAAGACGTGACACTATGGTGGTTCACAAAGCGTGTGAGAGAATCAGGCCCCCTCCCCTACACAGAGTCTCATAGTTTGCAGAGCCTTTCTCTGGAACTTGGGTGGCTGCAAAGTTGGAACTGTGGGGAAGGCATTGATAATCAAAGAGAAGGGCTTCACATCCGTGGTCCTGGCCCTTGGAACCTATCACATGATGCCACTGAGATTTTGTCTTCCACGCATCCCATCTCTGCTTTATGCTCCTTTCTCACTGTAGACTGCCCTGCTGCCTATTCCACTGGAAGGAGCAAATGGTCCAGACCTTTGATGTTGGGCTCAGCCATGTGACTTGTTTTGGTCAATGCAATATGGGCCAGTGTGGCCCTCACCATGTTCAAACAGAGGCTTAAATGTAATTGTGTGGTCCAGGCAGCACTTGAATGTCTGCCCTCTGCCACGAGAACAGATTGTGTCAATAGGCCCTGCCCCTTCAGCCTGGGCCCCAGAATGAGAAGACACAAAGAACAGACCTGTGGCTGGCCTTCAGTTGAGAGCAGAGCTGCTGACGGCCTGCAGTCCTGGTGTGACATGAGCCAAAAGCAAAAGCTTATTGTTGTAAACCTCTGAAGGTTTACTATGGTGGAAAATTGTCTAATATACACAGAGTTCCCGCCACTCTCTCATGCTGCCCTCATTCTGTCCCACTCTTAACTCGAGATTGACGTACCTGCCAGTCTTGAAAGTGACCTTTCTCTCTTTCCACATTTGACCTCAGCTAAGTGTCTTCCAAGCTCTAACACCAGTCATCTTGGAATCGTTTGGAGTCACAGGGAAGCTTTCCTAAAAACAAGTATTTGTCCTGCATACCAACTTCAGTTCTCCCCGCTCAGGAGAGCTGAGACTCCCCCGTGGGGGTGGGTCCTGAGCAGAAAGCCCGGATTGTTCCGAGGGCCTTACTTATGCCGCTGAAGGTCCGAAGTGTGTAACCCTGACCCACCTCTCTCGGGACGGAGGTTCAGAAGACTGCAGCATCACTTCAAACGCTTCAAATTCGGTGCTTTATTCAGCCTCTCAACCGATGTTTCTTGAGAACCTGCTACGTGGAGAATGTGATGCTAAACTCCGTTGGATCCAAAGTTCCTGAAATGTCATCATTGCCCTCAAAAAACTACGAGCCCCAAGGCACAAAAATACCTACAAATAAGAACAACTAAGGCAGAATAAAAATTAATTCTCAATGAATTTACAACCAAGATCCACAGAACACAGAAGAGGGAGCCACCACTTATTTCTGGAGGGATCAGTATTCAAAGGCAAGGGTAAAGGTCGGAAGGGCCTCACCAGACTGAGGTTTGACCCTCCCTGCCCTGTCATCCTGGTCATTATTTACCTCCCAAGCCTCAGTTTCCCACCTGTACAATGGAGGTGATAATCCCTGTGCCCCAGTGCAGTGAAGAACAGGGGAGATGACCTCGTAAATAGAGTGATTGTCACAGCGCCTGACACCTGGGCAGCGCTCTATAAGTCGTCACAGGCACAAAGAGGAAGTGGCATCTGAGCTGAGCTTTAAAGACGTGCAGCTTCTCAGCAGGTAGAAAAGGGAAGGAGGTGCATTCTAAGCAGAAGGAGCCGTATAAAATTAATAGTTACGATTTAAAGACATCTACCTTTAGTGAGCTTGACTACTTAGAAAATCTCGACAAAGGGAGAGGTTTCAGCTGGGCTAAGAATGTCGTCCTAGGTCCCAAAGGTAGCAGGGAGCAGAGCTGAGAGCTGAGCCACCTCTGCCCTTCCACAGTGCCGACGCCACTTCCAGGAGCGAAATCTGAAGGCTCCTCCGGGTCGGGTCCGT